CCGCCGCCGCCGGCCGCGTCTGCGCCAAGCAGCTGGGCGAGCTCTGCACCGAGCGCGACCCCTGCGACCACCACAAGGGGCTCTTCTGCGACTTCGGCTCCCCCGCCAACCGCAAGATCGGCGTCTGCACCGGTGAGTGGGCCGGGGGAAGAGGGGTCGGGGCTGCGCGCCGGGCTGGGGACGGGGGGAGCCGCGGCTCGGCCCCGCTGCACCTCCCGCCCGCCTGACCCTCCTGCTGCCCCTCGCAGCTCGGGACGGCGCCCCGTGCGTCTTCAGCGGCATGGTGTACCGGAGCGGGGAGTCCTTCCAGAGCAGCTGCAAGTACCAGTGCACCTGCCTGGACGGGGCCGTGGGCTGCGTGCCCCTCTGCAGCATGGACGTCCGCCTGCCCAGCCCCGACTGCCCCTACCCGCGCCGGGTGAAGCTCCCTGGAAAGTGCTGTGAGGAGTGGGTCTGCGATGAGGCCAAAGAGCAGACTGCTGTGGGACCTGCCCTTGCTGGTGAGTTGGGGGGGTCCCTCCATGGGTGGCAGCCCCGGGGGGGAAGGGGCACCCTGCGTGGAGGTTGAAGGCAGTGGGGTGGGTTGACACAGGACACCCTGACAACTGGAGTGCAGTAGTTGGTGGGGTCACCCCACGTGTAAGTCTGGCTGCTTGCATTTCTAAGGGAAGGAAGCCTTTGGCAGGGCATGAGATCAGACGGGGGTCTCATCCAGGTTGTTTGTCCCCTGCAGCTTACAGACTGGAAGATACTTACGGTCCAGACCCAACAATGATGCGTGCCAACTGCCTGGTGCAGACGACTGAGTGGAGTGCTTGCTCCAAGACCTGTGGCATGGGCATCTCGACCAGGGTCACCAATGACAATGCCTTCTGCAGACTGGAGAAACAGAGTAGACTGTGTATGGTCAGGCCTTGCGAAGCAGACCTGGAGGAGAATATCAAGGTAAATAGTCTCATCTTTATGCATGATCTACTCAGTTGCTTCCATCCACTAGCAAAAAACCCCATTGTCTTACCAAAAAATATGCAGTTCTGACAGGAAGTTAGTTTCAAGTGGTTTACCTTGAAATTTGAGTTTTGCACCAGTGGTGACTAGCTTATGACTGAAAGCCCTTCATTTTCTGTCATGCTGTATGATGGCACTGTGCAAGACCCTCTCACTTAATGGAAATATGATGATTAGCATGTCTGCTTCCCCTTAGCTCGCAAGCCTAATGCTGTGTGAAAGCCTACCTTCTGAACATCTTGTGTTCACTTATATCCTCAACAGAAAGGCAAAAAGTGCATCCGCACCCCCAAAATCTCCAAGCCTGTCAAGTTTGAGCTGTCTGGCTGCACCAGTGTGAAGACCTACAGACCTAAGTTCTGTGGTGTCTGCACTGACGGGCGCTGCTGCACACCCCACAGAACAGCCACCCTCCCCGTGGAGTTCAAGTGCCCTGATGGAGAGATCATGAAGAGGAAAATGATGTTCATCAAGACCTGCGCCTGCCACTACAACTGCCCGGGAGACAATGACATCTTTGAGTCTCTGTACTACAGAAAGATGTATGGAGACATGGCGTAAGGCCAGAAGGAGACGTGAACTAGATTCTCGACTTGAACTGATTTACATCTCATTTTGTAAACATGATTCAATAGAACAAGGTATTTAAATCATTCTTTCTTTTTAATTCAACAAACTGCTCCATGTGACTCAAGACAATTTTTCTACTGACCCCAAGTGGTGGTTTGAAGAAGAAGGTAAAATGGACAGTGGGACCACAGCAAGACACAGCTTCAGAACATGCTGTTCGTGAGGTGGTGTGAAGGGGTTAAAGGAAACAGGCAGGAAAAGCAGAGGCAAGCAAATGTTCCCTTAAGGTGGCACAGCTTCATCTGGTAGTGCAATTGAGGAGCCCTGGATGCTGCTTTAGTGACAGCAGCCGCAGGAATGCAAATCCTCACACAGCAAAATGTTAAGTAGAAGGTGTTCTGTTAGTCAGGACAGTAATGTTTCAGCTCTGACACTCTGATTCATATGGCTTGGTCAACAAGAATCAGAATCATGTCTATTAGACTGGACAGCTTGTGGCAGTTAGTTTACCTGTAACAAGCTACTTTTTATTAATATTGTAAATACTGTGTGTATATATATTTGTACAGTTATCTAAATTAATTTAAAGTTTTGTGCCTTTGTTTAATGCTTTGAAATTTCAATGATAGCCTTCTTTTTTGGAACAAGATAGGTAAGATTTAAAGCTTGTCTGACAATGCATTCAAAGTATGAAATAGATACTCTAGTGGAAACTGTTCAGCTAGGGCTAAATGGTGAGTTAAGGTCAAGATGATTGTTAGCTGAGCTGCCTGTATCCTTACAAAGCACTCATCTGGCAATATACATTTACTTCCACTTTATTGGACAAGTGGCTTTAAGAAAAATGGCTCTTCTGTAGCTCATCAGTCTTTCCACTTGAGCATTTCTTTCTTTCTTTGACTATGGCTCTTTTTGGATGGTTTATTTGTTGAGAAGTGTGACCAAAAGTTACATGTTTGCACCTTTTTAGTTGAAAATAAAGTATTTATATTTTTTATATAAATGGCTTGGTATTTCATTTACCGTTAAGTCTTCAGTATTACTTTACATATTGGCTTTGCACTAGATGAAAATCAAGTAAAGTGTGGTGGTGTTTTTCATCCAGAAGCACATACACTCAGGAATAAGTTAATGACTTATGGTTGCTTATTCTGCTAGCAATGAACTACCTTAACGTTTGTTACTCTTCTGAATTTAGAATGGAGGTCAACACCAGGCTTGTTTTGCCAAGCCACCTGGTATTATATTAGGAAGTGCAGCAGGTTCCTCATGCATCACGTGTGGTGGCTTTAAAATGAGCCAGCTGCTCACCGTTGTAGTCAATTCCTGCTTTGACACACCATGCAATGTGCTTAATTTCACTGAAATGCTCCACAGGTTAAGTTTTATTTTCAACTGGGTTGAGGAAAATGTTTAAAGTGTCTGCATTGCTGTGGCTCCTGACTCGTGTCAAATCCAGAAGTCCAGAATTTGGTAAAATTCTCATTGAAGAGCTAATGGGTTGTATCATAAAAATCACAGAATATTACAGGCTGTAAAGGGCCTCTCAAGATCTGATTTAACCCTCATGCAGTGCAGGGCTAACTTGGATATGGTTCTACTTGATTTAAGGCCTTGGTAAGGTACCCTAGACAGAGCACTGAGCTCAGGTGTCAAGGTGCTGGGTTATCTCCCTATCTGACGACTGGGGAGGCAAATAATTTTCTGTGACAGTTCTGTCTGTAAAGTGTCCATTGATACAAATTCTTGTATGCCTAGAGATGAGAGGCATTGTTAGAGCTACACTTTCTCATAAAGGTCCAAACATTCATCTCAGATAAGCAAACAACAGTATAAGGACAGTTGTGAGTCACTTGCCTCATCCCCCTAAAGCTAAAAGGAAAGCTTCCGTTCTGTGCTGGGTCCTACATTAATAACAGACTTTTTTGTCCCTTTGTTAAGACAAGGGGATTCTCTGAATTTAAAATTAACCTTTGCACTAGAAGCATTAGTTCTTGTTTTCAGAAAAAACATGTACTCTCCAACAAGAATCCTTTTCAGGCAAACAAGTTCAATCTGGAATTTGCTGGTGGTGGAAGAGTGTTAGCTTAGAAAAATGTCCATCCCTCCTGAGCACCTTCCAATCCCATTGATTTCAGTTGGCATTAGCGGCAAATCAGCATAACACCAGCTTTGACTAATGATGGACAACAGAGCCCTAAAGTAATGGGAAGTCAATGGGAGCCTTGCCAGTGGCCTCACCAAGCTTTGCACAAGGCCATAGAAGCATTTCCTCTTCCTCTGAAAAATACAAGGAATTCTCCTGGCACAAGGAAGTGGCTTTAGCGTCACGTATGAAATAGTTCTGAGTAGTTCTGAGAGAGCCTCTGGCTCTTACACCTGAGACTCTCCAGCATTTTTTCTTCTTCTTTTTTTTTTTTTTTTTTTTTTCCCTTTGTGTTTTAACAGGTTACAAATATGATGCCACCATTCAGTTCACCTTGGAAACACTTCAAACCCTTATACCACTACAAGGACTGGTTGTCCCATTGCTATTGTGAGTTCACCCCCAAATCAAAAGAGAACTGGCATTTCTAGTTCCAACAAGGACAGGACATACATGGATTTCATTCATAGCCATCACTATAGAAGCTCTCAGGGTCCAAAGGATGGAAAGAAGCACAGTATACCTGGCAGGCTGGGACTAGTGCCCTGAAGAAATGGGGTGTTCATGATGCTGCTCAAGCCTGTTCATTAATAAATCTGCCCTGCCTTCTTTTACAAATTGGTATCTGACACTGTAATGAATGACCATTCCTTGTAATATTGACCTCTTGAGCCTCATGACCAGCTCACAAGATTCACTCAGGTCTGGTCCCAGTCCTCTGCAGCTGGATCTCAGACACTTCAGCTGTGCAGCTCTGTGGGCTCCCCTGGCACTGTCCAGCAGCCATGCTGGGCATACAAGGCTAGAAGGCTGCAGGGTCGGAGAGCAGCAGCAGGGCTCTGGTTCAGGAAGGGCCACCTGTCATTAGATACCTATAAAGGGCATCCCCAAAAACAGCTCAGTACTATGACCTGTCCTCTGCCTGGTAATGCCATGATGCAGCTGCTTTGCTGCCATTTGACATGGCAGTGCTTCACAGGCCAGGAAAAAAGGACAGAAGAGGCCTCCTGTCACAGTGTTTTAATGGCAGCGTGCTGTTGCCATTGTGAATTAAAATAAGGAAACAAATCTGTTTAGCAAGTTGTTACTCTCCCTGGAGCATATCAAGGGTCATATATCTCTTGCTATCACAGCGTTATACTGATTTGCACTGTTTTTCTAGTAACATATGTAGTCTTCAGATGGAAGCATGCTTTTTACAGCACTTCACTGGTGTTGGATCTCTGAAGGCAAAGAAATTTCAGTACTTCATTGTAAGGTCTCCCAGAGGTGTAGGTAGGCATCATGCTGTTTGTAAGAATTTCTTTCAAAGGTATCCTGGGAAAAAGGAGCCCTTGTTGGAATTTATGGCATCTTAAATGAAAGTTAAGATGTGGGCCGTTCAACCATAAAGATGTTTCCTGATTTCATTCTTTGTGCCTAAGATGCATAGATGTGAGAATAAACACTTAACATCAAAAGTTCAAAGTCACTTACATGGGAGAGAATATTGGTTCACATTCCTTCCAGTTTTAGAAATTTGCTTTTGGATGTTTGCATCCTCAGAAAATTCTATTGTGCAGGTTTGCTACTGTACTTTTAAAACATTTTACTCATATATGAAAGCATGTTCATTCAAATGACTAGCTCCTTAAAATGAATCTCCAGCAAAATTAATAATCCAGTTGGTAACAGACCACTGTAGAGTCAATAATCATTTAATAAATGATACTCAATTAATCATTAAACAAGAATTCAAGGTGGCTGGAGACCAGAGTATCAAATAATTTGTGAAATAACTCTAAGCCCTTGTATTTCAGATTTTTTTACCACAACACTTTTGCATGGATTTGCAGCTTAGCTTTATAACACAACACAGATGTGAACAACAGACACGGATTATAGCCCTTTCATATGAAATAGGCTCTACTCTCCAGATGGAAATTTGTCAGATTCCTCAGAGCTAAGAAACATCCAAAAGACACTAGTTAAGAAACTCTTCGAGAATGAGCCACTTTTAATGATCCATAACCACACAGGAACAAATAAGTCTTTGAACGGTATCCAGTTGTTTGTCTCACAAAGATGGGGACTCAGCTGAGAAAACTGACTTTTGGACACTGCTAGAAATAGCATACTCTAACTAGATGATTTGTAGTTTTTTCATGTAACAGAGCTTTTTCAGACACCACACTTGAAGAAAGCACTCGTATCATTACACTGAAAAGGACGTTAAATGTAAGAAGGAACAGTAATATTCTTGCCTAAACATCTAATAATTCAACCATTCTGACTTTGCATCCTACCACCAAAAGCCTAAGTTCTTTAAAAACAGTGCTTAAATGTGGCTTTAACTGATGTTACACTGTGCCTACATATGGAAGTAGTTAGCAAGGAGAAGTTGGGATGAAATACCAGCATAAGGCTTTGCCCAAAACGCAAGAAGAATCTGAGAGAGGAAGTAGCTCAGTTAGCTTATTTTTCCTCTCATTTTCCACTTTTTTTCCTCCCTGCAGTTCCTTTGATTCATGCCCTTAAATGGACATACCAAAAGCCACCACATTCTCACAGTGTTTTTCAGCCTGCCTGGAACCAGGAAATACCAGGAATTTCTTCAAGGAACCTGTTCCCAAACTGTACTAAACCCTTCAACACGTTTTGCGTTTGAACCGAGTTTAGCAGCATGACTAAGGTCCCATCTCCACTGCACGACACAGCACAGCTCCTGCACGGGAGAGCAACTGCTTGCAGACCTTGCTCCAAGTCCTGGCCTTTCCAGCTCTTCTCTGTGCCAGTCCAAGCCCACACCCCCAAAGCAGCAAAGATGGGGCGATTCTGAAAAGTCTCCCTAGAAATCTCTGGCTGTGTATTGTGGCAGCATTCCTCAGCTTCTGTCTGTTATTGGGACAGTGCCAAATGCAGCAGTATTTATGTTTGCTTAATGGTAAGTAAATCCAACCCTAATAGTAGTATAATGGTGTTTATGCTGTGAGGAACAAAGCATTTTACAGCCTCACAAGCAGAACCAAAAGGTTGCTAATGCCTTACTGCAATGTAAACACAATCTAGTGGTGCCTCCATTCATTACTCAGCCTCATTAATTGGGCCACTGAAAGAAATGCACAATCCAAAGAAGTGTTTGTTGTTTTAAATTAGTCCTATTAAAAGCAGGTATTTAACAGCTTTCAGCAGCTATGAAATATGTTTTCCTGCTCCTGAGCTAAATGCTAAGAACAAGCTTTTCAGCCAGTTTTCAGGACTTAGGTCAGCCTAGCTAATTGGCATCACTGCAGTCACACTGGCTTAGACCACCTGTGGCCCAAAGTCCTGAGGCCATATGAAGTCAGGGGAACTGCACAGGGCTGTGTGCCTGGGAGGGCTCCCAAGAGACCACAGGCTGGCTCCTGTGTCCCTGACAATGCAGGTGATCTTTAAGGTCCCTTCCAAACCAAGCCAGTCTATGAGTCTATGATTCCTGTGGCATATGCTGGGCAATAAGCACTTGCACAAGCATAAATTACACAAGAAAGTATTACCTGCTAGGGAAGTGATAAGGACTTTGTGATTTGGCACAGCACCATGATCTGAAGGAACTTACTTTGCCCTAATTCTCAGGCCTTGGTTACACCACACAGACCAAGCCATTTGCTGATCCAAGGACAGGTATGGTGTAGCCCACGTCTGACAATACTCTGCTTTTCCACAGATCTAGCCCCAGGTGGAGAGCCTGGCAGGAGGAGAAGACTGGTAAAACAACAGAAAACAGATCAGTTAAACAGATGAAGCTGGGGATAAGCTTCACAGTCACCAAGAGCATGACAGAAAGGTAATAGTGTGCAAAATTTGCACCTTCTTGTCTGTGAATCAAGAGC